CATGAATTGGTGCACCAGCCCTCTAGTAAGTAATAAAAGTAAAGCAGGAGGAAAAAAGTGGATGCTCAGGCTCTACTGCCAGACATTTTAAAAGTATGTTTATATTGATTTTTAGAGAGAGGAAGGGACACAGAGAGAACCATTGATGGTGATGTGAGAAACATCGATTGAACACTCATACACACCCCAACCAGAGATCAAACCTGCAACCTCAGCATGTGCCCTGACCAGGAATTGAACTGGCAGCCTTTCAGTGCATGGAATGATGCTCAGCCCAACTGAGCCACACTGGCCAGTGCTAGCGTATGCATTTAAATATATATATATATATTATTGATTTTTTTTTACAGAGCTGAAGGGAGAGGGATAGAGAGTTAGAAACATCGATGAGAGAGAAATATTGATCAACTGCCTCCTGCACACCCTACTGGGGATGTGCCCACAACCAAGGTACATGCTCTTGACTGGAATCGAACCTGGGACTCTTCAGTCCGCAGGCTGACCTTCTGTCCATTGAGCCAAACCGGTTAGGGCTAGCATATGCATTTTAATAGCTCCCTAGATCAGCAGTCGCCAACCTTTCAAACCTCACAGACCACCAGTGGTCCACGGACGACCAGTTGGTGACCGCTGCCCTAGATGATTCTGATAAGTTTGTCCTGATTGAGAAAAGTTTATTTCCCCCCATGGCATTAGGGTATTCATTATGGAGGTATTTTAATCTTAAAAATGAATCCTTTATTGAAGATATTTATGTATTCCTCCCATCCCTTTTTCTGCTTTTATAAGTAGTTGATGACTGGTCTATTTATTTCTAAATTTTTAAATATGAGAATTTGTTGATTCAGTGAGTATATACATTTTTAGGACTTTGATACATATTGACAGATTTCCTGGGGATTAATTAACATCCTGTCTCTGACAATTATTCTTTTTTCTTCCTGGTTTATAGCTTTATTTTATGGATGGAATTATGACTTTTCTGTAGAGAACATAAATCTTTGTTCTCATTGGTTAATTGTTCTTTCACCCTAGTGATAAGTTGTTTATATTTGTTAACCTAGATCATCAGTAATGTGCCAGCAGACAGCTTGATTCGTACAGAACGCCCACCAAATAAGGAGATACTTCGATACTTTATACGGCATAATGCCTTACGGGCTGGCACTGGTGAAAATGCACCTTGGGTGGTAGAAGATGAATTGGTGAAGAAATATTCCCTACCTAGCAAGTTCAGTGACTTTTTACTTGATCCATACAAGGTAAGGTCACTATTAATTTTTGGACAGCAGGATAGAACACTATTAGATGAGTTTATTTCCCCAGATGGGTCCAATAGATTAGATTTATAGCAGATTTTGAACTCTAACATCAGATAAGGAATTCAAAAATTTTCAGATATCTATTTCATATAGGTTGTGATTTGTTGGGTTGGTTGGGGAGCGGTCACGTTGAGTATCTCCCCTAGTTCAATTTATTTTTTACATAATTAAGAAGCAAACTACATACATGTACTTTTTAACCTCAGATCCTTCTTATAATGAGGTATGGTACAAACACAAATATTTTGCAAATTGAATCCTAAAAATGAAAATTGATTTTATACATCAGAAAAGATGATCAAATATACTGGTAGCCTTGAAAAAGGACTTGGAATGAATATTACTTTGTATGTCAGGTGAGTAGAAAATCTAGGATTTTCCTCTTGAGAACACGGTTTTTTCTTTATTTCATTTGATCTACAGAACATTATTATGAAGTTGTATAGGATGTAAAAATATCTTAATCTTATTTTCCAGATGGGGAAACAGAGGCTAGTCTAATTAGAAGCAATATAAAGTGAATGACAAAAGCCAAGACATTGTCCTTTGATCTCTGGTTATCTTTTCCATTTAGGGTTTCTCCAATGAAATTATAATGTAGTTTGTGAGAGTTTTTTATGTAGGCTGTGAGAGTATTTATGCTTCTTGTGGTGGTAAATTTACTTAATTGCATACTGATGTTTTCATCTTGCTCTCTGGGCCAGAAGGGGAAGGAGAGAGCCCCTGGTCCATTAAAATAAAGTCTGAGTTTCAGGATTTTTCTCCCCCATCCTTATTTATTTATTTATTTTTGGTAAGAGAACATTTATTGGGTAAATCACAGAGGTAGAAAAAGTAATTCCTGGAAGAAATGGGCTTAGGAAACAAGTTATAGGGGTAAAGGAAGGGCCCTTGGAATTTGGGAGTGAGGAAGCTAATGATAACAAGCCAGGAATCTGGGGCAGAGAGAGGTTGGGGGAGGGAAGGGAAGAGAAGGGAAAGGCATGGGCATACTTTCAGGAGGGAGAGCACCCCCTTTCTTGCATATTTTTATTGATTTCAGAGAGGACGGGAGAGGGAGAGATAGAAACATCAATAATGAGAGAGAATTATTGATTGGCTGCCTCTGCACTACCCCCACTGGGGATCGAGCCTGCAACCCTGGCCATGTGCCCTGGTCATAGGTCAATGGTCAACCACTGAGGCTCCCTCTCTTGTTTGTTTGATGGTTTGTTTTTAATGCATTTTTTATTGTTGATAGTATTACAGATATCTCCCATTCCCTCCTCCCATTCCCATTTTTCTCTTCTAACCCTTACCTGCCCCCCCTCCCCAATACACACACCCTGGTCTTTACTACCCTATAGCTCATGTCCATTGGCTTTGCATATCCTATATAATAAAAGCCTAATATGCAAATTGACCAAATGGAGGAATGACCGGTTAGCTGGGATTGGGGCCGACAAGCAGGCAGCAGCAGGCAGAGGGAGGGGATGGCGATCTGGGGGGTGTCAGCGGCAGGGGGGCCGTCCCCAGATCGGCCCGCTGGTAGTTTCCCTCAGAGGGAGGCTAAACTAAGCCATCAGTTGGACATCCCCCAAGGGCGCGCCTGCGCACACGCACAAATTTTCGTGCACTGGGCCTCCAGTGTATATATGTTCTTTGGTTTATCTCTTCTTGTTCCCCCAACCCCACATCAAGGTATGTCAGTCTGTTTCATGTCTCCCTTGATTTTTTTTAAAATATATTTTTTATTGTTGATGCCTCCCTTGTTTTTAATTGTGAAAAACTAAGGATATCTCCAGTCATGTAACTAAATTATTATAATTATCTTAGGTTGATTTTGCTGACAAAAGTACATTGAGAAATAAATTTATTTACTTAAACATTGATAAAAACCTCTAACCATAGTTTAACATTTAGAATGTTTTCTTATTCTAGACCAGCGTGATTATTATCTTTCATTATGCTCTTTAAATTTTTATTATTTGTGAAAAAGAAGAATTTAGGAACTAATTGGTTGTTTTAGATCAGGACTAAATTTTCCATGGAACTATAGTAAACCTATTTTTTTTCCTTAATATTTTTATTTTCTTGGCATTTTTATTTACGAGAGGATATTTTAATACGTCATTTCATTGCTGTATGTTTTGGAACTGATGGCTTTTGGTGGTTATAACATGAGATTACTACCTATGCTGTTTGAGAATCCTTTATAAAATGATCTCTGAATGGGTTTTAGGCTCATGGATCATTTGAATCCTTTAATATTTTCCTCTTATTTGATAGCTGTCTTTTATGTATTTTAGTTTAGTGATTAAAGTATGTGACCATGCTCTAGCTTTTTTGGTTCAGTGGATAAAGTGTCAGCCTGTGGACTGAAGGGTCCTGGGTTCGATTCCAGTCAAGAGCACATGCCCGGGTTGTGGGCTTGATTCCCAGTAGGGGTGTGCAAGAGACAGCCTATTAATGATTGTCTCATCATTAATGTTGCTATCTTATCTCTCTCTTCCTCTCCCTCCCTCTCTGAAAATCAACAAAAATATGTAAAATTAAAATAAAAATCATTTTAAAAAGAAGTATGAATAACTTGAAAGGACTGAGTATTTATAGGTAAAAATGTGTTTAGATTTTACTGAATGAAAAAGTTTGATCCACCCTCTCTAAAAATTGATTGAAAAATGTCCTCAGGTGAGGATTAACAAAAATGTAAAAAATAAAAATAGATTCTGCTTGTTAAGGAGAAAAATGCTACTGACAGTTGAGTTTAGGGATAACCTTTTTTTTATAGGCCTAATGACTTGGAGGAATGTTTTACAAAACAATGGGTAATCAAAATTCGTCATGAAAGATGAGATCAGTCATCTTAGTTCATTTCCCTTTGTAATACATGCAGCTCTAGTGTTCAGTTATTCTATCCATAATGTTTGAACTCTTATTTTGAGCTGTTATAAAGGGCATCCTGTCACCCTGGCCAGTGTGGGTCAGTGGTTAGAGCATCAGCCACTAATGGGGAAGCTTTTAGATAGAGACATAATAAGAAAATAACACTTTTAAAATTGGCGATCCTTAATTAATTTGGGGTAATTTAGTATGGTTTTTAATATATTTTAAAAACATTATTTTGAAATAAATAATTTCATATAGAAAAGTTGACAAAATAATATAAAGCATTTCCCTTATGTAGATTGTACTCCATGTAGATTTCTCAAATATTAACATTTATCATATTTGTTTTATTTTCTCTTTTAATACATACATACAAACAAAAATTTTTCTTTTCTGAGACATTTGAGAGTAGGTTGTAAGACAAGATGCCCTTAGTATTATTATTATTATTACTAGAGGCCTGGTGCACAAAATTCGTGCATGAGGGGGGTATGTCCCTCAGCCCGTCTGCACCCTCTCCAATCTGGGATCCCTCTCACAATCCGGGACTGCTGGATCCCAACCACTCGCCTGCCTGACTGCCTGATTGCCCCTTACCGCTTCTGCCTGCCAGCCTGATCCACCCCCTAACCACTCCCCTGCCAGCCTAATTGACCCCTAACTACTATCCTGCTGGCCCAATTGCCCTAACTGCCCTCCCCTGCTGGCCTGGTCACCCCTAACTGTCCTCCCCTGCTAGCCTGGTTGCCCCCAACTGCCTTCCCCTTCAGGCCTGATCGTCCCCAACTACCCTTCCCTGCTGGCCTGGTTACCGCTAACTGCCCTCCCTTGCCAGCCTGGTCCCCCCCAACTGCCCTCCCCTGCAGGCCTGATCACCCCTAACTGCCGTCCCTTCAGGCCTGGTCCCTCCCAATTGCCTCCCCTGTTTGCCTGATTGCCCACAACTGCCCTCCCCTGCAGGCCATCTTGTGTGTTGGAGTGATGGTCAATTTGCATATTACCTCTTTATTATATAGGATTTTTTTTGTTGTTAATCCTCACCTGAGAATATTTTTTCCATTGCTTTTTGGAGAGAGTGGAAGGGAGGGAGGTGGGAGAGAGAGAGAGACATCAATGTGAGAGACATACCTCAATTGGTTGGCTCCTGTACGTGCCCTGAAGGGACAGGAATCGTACCCAAGACCCTTCAGTGCATGGGCTGATGCTCTAACCACTGACCACACTGGCCAGGGTGACAGGATGCTCTTTTAAAAAGTACTTGAATGTGTCTTTCCTGAAGACAAGGATGTTTTCTAATGTAACTCTAGTATAGTTATCAAATCAGTAAACTAACTTGATTTACAGTTTTTACTCAAATTTTGCCATTTATCCTATTAATGTCCTTTTAGCCACCCCTCCACCCCCCAATTTTGTTTTGGTTTCAGTAGGATACATTTACTTGTTATTTATTATGTCTCTTTAATTTCCTCTAATCCAGAACAGTCCCTCAAATTTTCTTTGCCTTTTAAAAACTTAATTATTATGCTCTTCAGTTTGGGTTTATTTTATCATGAGTAGATTTAGTCTGAATTTTTTGGTAGAAATGACACAAAAATGATGATGTATTCTTCTCAGTGAGTTATATGAGAAGGCACATGATATAATCTTGTCTCATTACTAGTGATATTAATTATTGTATATTTTAAAATAAGTTCCTTATCTCTCCTAATAACTAATGTTTCAAGTAAGTGTTTATAGCCCTAAGATTTTTCTTTAAATTTTAGCTCTTGAAGTTTGTTTATGAGGTTGAGACTAGAGCAGAAGTATTTAAAATAAATTATATTATTTTTCAAAGCACTTAAAATATTTTATAGTAACACATTTCACAAATTTCTAATTTATGATTTTTTTTTTTTGTATTTTATTGAGTTTTTACAGAGAGGAAAGGAGAGAGACAGAGAGTCAGAAACATCGACGAGAGAGAAACATCGACCAGCTGCCTCCTGCACACTCCCCACTGGGGATGTGCCCGCAACCAAGGCACGCCCCTGACCAGAATCGAACCCGGGACCCTTCAGTCCGCAGGCCAACGC